AACCCACATGGTGACTAACCATTTGTATCTCCAGTTGTAACAACAGTTTCAGGGAATCTGATGCCCTCTTCTGACCTCCATGGACATTGCATGACATGGGTGCACTTACATTCATGCAGACAGTACACTCATACACATGAAGTAAAATGAAATATTTTAAAAGAAAGTTGATCAAAGAATGACTGAAGGGCTGTGGAGCCTGGGGGAGAGCACATCAATCTGGAGGGAGGGAACACTTGTTTGAGTGCTAAATCAGGTTGGTTTGAAAGATTTGAGCATAGAGCTTGGAACTCCTGGCTCTCAACTCCAGGGTATGAGGCAAATAACAGAAAGCCAGTGCCAGTGAGAAGCCAGGTTAGCAGGGTACCGGGTGGGAACAGCCCACCGAGATGGCAAGGCATGGACATTTCTGCATGCGAAGATGAGGTCTGGAGGGCTTGAGGGGAGCGTTGGCTGGAGAGGGACGTAGGAGAGGCCATACTAGCAATGATGGTGAAAGACGATAGCAGGAATGTTAGAGAATATTGCTTCTTTGCCGCATAAGGATGCAAGCATAGGTTCCAACACACTCATAAAGGAGGACTCCTGGCATGGCTGTGTATTTGTAACCCCAGCACGGGGGTGGGGCGGGGGCAGAGAAAGGAGGATTTCCAGAACTTACTGGCTGTCAGCCTAGCTCCAGGTTCAGTGAGAGACCCTGTGTCAAGGGAATAGAATGGAGCATGAGAGGGCAGGGCGTCCATGTCCTCCTCTGGCCCCAGCATGCCCTGCATATGTCTCTCTCTCTCTCTCTCTCTCTCTCTCTCTCTCTCTCTCTCTCACACACACACACACACACACACACACGGCAAGGTGGAACCAAATTTAAGGGAATGGTTGGGTTGTACATTTAAGTCAAACTTGATAACTTGCACACAGATGAGCCTAAGGCCTGCTGAGTGCCTGGTCTTACTTGAATTCATCAGTGTCACCTCAGAGGAGCCACTGAGATTTCAGTCTCCTCCAGTCCTGGCCGCGGCCTTCAAGGATGAAGCGCAGTCACACAGACTCTTGCTTCCTCTTTCGTGTTGACCCAACTGAAATCTCTTGACCCTTCCTAACTGCAAGGCTCTGATGAAGCACCCAAGACCTGCTTGCTTGCAGCGTGAGGCCGGTTTTCTGCTGTGGAGTCTCGGGGAGGTGTGATTCTCCACCAGGAGCACTGCCCTGCCTTTTGTGTGCAAATGAAGGATAAGTTTGAGGTTTCCGTTTGTCTCATCTACTGAACTTCAGGAAAGTAAAGGGTGGGAATCAAATAAACAGCTTGGATTACTTTTAAACGGCCGGGATTCCAGCTGCGAAAGCAGTAAAGAGCGTGCACAGCACTGTGTAATGGAGTCAGCGTGCAGAGGATGGCACAGTGAGGTCCTGTTTGTGTGTGCAAATGAAGGATAAGTTTGAGGTTTCCGTTTGTCTCATCTACTGAACTTCAGGAAAGTAAAGGGTGGGAATCAAATAAACAGCTTGGATTACTTTTAAACGGCCGGGATTCCAGCTGCGAAAGCAGTAAAGAGCGTGCACAGCACTGTGTAATGGAGTCAGCGTGCAGAGGATGGCACAGTGAGGTCCTGTTTGTTCTTCCGACCGCCTTCCCGAAAGAAGAAGTAACGCTCTAACCACTAAACCCTCCAGTTCAGTTTAGAAGCTGTCTGAGACCCTCTCTGAAAAGGTGCTGTGCTCGGGACTCCATGTGGTATTTTAGATTCCACAAGAAATCACCTCAAAGCAGGGCCTCACACGAGGCAGTGATTCTCACAGTGTGGGAGGCCGGAAGTCTGAGTTCAGGTGTCAGCAGGGCCACAGGGAGAGACTGCCACATGCCACTTTGACTCCTGGTGGTGCTTGCCACCTTGGAGGCCTTTGGTTTGAAGACACCCTTCCACCTTTGTGTCTGTGACGTGCTCTTCTGTGCCTGCCTCATCTCTTCACATAAAGACCCCATCAGGCCAGATTGAAAGCTTAACCCCCTCCAGTGTGACCCCAGGTAGCTTTGCCCACATCCACCCCATTGCCAAGTAAACTTGCATGTTGAAGGTCCAAGGAGGATGTGGATTTTGAGGGTTGACACTGGTGAGCTCACCAGTTTCTAATGTGCATGACAGGTGACTTCTGCCACGAGGAGGATGTACTTCCTAATGGAATCATCACAGAAGGCAGCGTGCTCAAGTGGTAATGGACACCGAACACTGTGGACATGTGGGGGAGTCAGGGATGGGTCCTAATTCGGCGTCTTCATGGAAGACATGGGGGAGTCTGTGTCCTGGAAAATTGACAAGGACACACCAGAAGGCAGAAGCAGGACAGGGCTGGGGGCCAGTGTGGCGGGCAGCACGGTGACTTCATGCACTTACAGTTCGATGCTCGGGCCACCTGGAGTGCGGTCTGAGGATGGCCTGGCCTCTGAGCGGTGGGTACATGCATCACTCTGGCCATTGGGACGGAGGAGGAAAGCCCAGGAGGCAGGTGACCTACTGATGACCTTCGCTAGCGTCTGTAGTGAATGCTGTCTCTGAGGGGTGGAATAGTCAAGGGGAAAGGCCAGGGAGAGGCAGGCCTCCTCTCTCAGACAAGAGTGTTACTTTGATTGGAATGGGTGTATGAGAAGGCAGTTCTGCCCCGGGAGTAAGCTCTCCTTTGAATGCTGGTTTAGGGACCCTCACAAGGAAGTGGCATGTGGGTGGCCGTTCATGGTTTGATTTCTGAGTTATCCAAAAGACTCCATGGCCTTCCAAAATAACTCCTTCATGGTAGCCTCAAGTGGCCTTCATGTTGGAAACTGTTTCCTCTGTTAGAATGCAAGTGACTGTGGGTGCCCCCAGTACCCCCAGCGACTACACCTTAATATGACGTGTCGCTGCCTTTTCTTTGTAGCAGGGTTGAGAACAGCACAGGAGGGAGAGGAGACCCTGGAGGACGTGCGCACCACGCTTTGTTAACCGATCACTTCTGACGCGAGTTTTTATGGCTGTGAAACTTGTTTGTTTGTGGTACCTGGGGTCACAGCCAGGGCGCCACACATGCTAGACAAACGCTGTACCTTGAGCTTCAGTCCTAACATTGTGCTTTTCTGAAGAGTGAATCTCAGTCTCCACTCTAACCAGACAAAGCCCTGTTTGTGGCCTGCAGGGGTGAGGCTGTGGTACAGAGGGCTCTGCATTTGGTAGAAAAGGTGATTACTGTTCCAATGTCTTATTTCAGGGGTCTTTTCCTGACCTACATATTACAACTTAAGTTAACTTTGAGGGTGCCTCCGTATAGTCCTTTAGGGATCCAGGCTGGTCTGTGCTGTTGGTCCACCATCTCTGGTATGTAGCCTCAAGGTTGCACAGACTTACCTGGGTGGCATGACGGGAAAGGGGAAGCATACCTTGCTGGGACGTGACATCCATTTAATCTCACGTTGCAATGGTAGGAACTGGTTCCAGGGTCTCAGCCAGATGGAGAGAGGCTGGAAATGGTTTCAGAATGAGCCCAGGGTGAGTTTCTTACATGGGTGCATCAGAGAGGATTTGTTCTTTTTCCTTCTGCCCGATAAAACTTGATCCTGGGAGGACGGAGGGCGGGTGGTAGCGTAGAAAGTGCCCAGTACTTAGAACAGGGAGGAGCAGGGCACTTGGTGGAGAGGGCGGCGTCCTGTGAATATAGTCTTGGCTGAAACACCTGTGTTTGCTTTCATCAGAAATAGGACAAAGGTAATGGAAATTTCCACTGCACACATCTTTTAAAAATTATTTTATTTTATCTGTATGAGTGTATTGCCAGCATGTGTGTAAGTGCACCTGTATTGTGCAATGCCTGCAGAGGTCAGAAGGTGTTGGATCCTCGGGAACTGGACTTATGAACAGTTGTTAGCCACCATATGGGTGTTAGGATTCAAACCTGGGTCCTCTGCAAGAGTAGTCAGTGCCTTTAATCACTGAGCCATCTCTCCAGCCCCCCTCCCCATCTTATAGTGTCAGACTAGGAATCTGGTTGAAGGTTGAAGCTTCTATAGCATAGTTCAAGTCTCCTTGGGGATGAGAACTCGTGGATTAGTGTTTGGAGAAGCTGAGAGAGCTACACCAGGAAACTGAGAGGTCATAGAAGCATCCAGATGGACAGTCGGTTAGAGGCCCGTGTGGGTCCTGATTTCTGCACTGGTCTCCTTGACACACCACAGTGCTCTTCATAGAAGAACTCTGTGTGGAGGATGCTGGCCTGCTGGGTGCCACTTAGCGAAGGACTTAGCTCCCTGGACTGACCGTGTGTGGGTGGACAGAGTCTGACTGTGTGTACCCCCTGGCCTCACAGGAGCGATGTCACCCCAAGAGTGTTCAACTTTCAGAGAGGACAGAACCTCAGCTTATTCCCTCTGCCATTTCTTAACTCACTTTTACTTTTTAAACTTTGTTTTTAAATCATTTTTTTTCTAATAGCAAAAGTATTGGTAATGACAGAAATGACATAAGTATATTTGTTTATAGCAGGATAGGCATGAATAGTCAAAGCCTGCTTGGGAGCCTGTAAGTTGGCAATGTAGCAGCCACCTCTACTATGATTTTTGATTCCTGATTGTTTTCTAACACATACATATTTATTTGCTTATGCGCAGTGCAATGTGATTATTTAACACGTTGCCATATGAAATAAATATGGTACAACTCAAATATTTCATATTATACAATACGAAATGTTATGCAACCCTTAAAGTTGTCTTAAAATGATTCTAATATTTTTGTATATATTCGGTATATATAAATTTATAGTATTTAAAAATATATAAATAATTATAAAAGTTCTATTCTAAAATAATTCTGTAAGTATAGTGGAAAACTCTGTTCCATACACCTTCTAATTTTAAGTTCTTTAAGGGTTGTTTAATATTGCATGTCATGGAAATACATGGTGCTTTAACGGCAGGGGCTGTGGGCGGAGAGGGAGTTCGGTTCATTGGCTCTGATTGTGTGTTCGTCCCCTTCCAGGGTATCAGCAGCCTGTTCAGTTCTTTGAAAGTTGTCCGACTGCTCCGTCTTGGGCGAGTGGCCCGTAAGCTGGACCACTACATCGAATACGGCGCTGCGGTGCTGGTCCTGTTGGTGTGTGTGTTCGGGCTGGCCGCCCACTGGATGGCCTGCATCTGGTACAGCATCGGGGACTACGAGATCTTCGACGAAGACACCAAGACTATCCGCAACAACAGCTGGCTCTACCAGCTGGCAGTGGATATCGGCACTCCATACCAGTTCAATGGGTCTGGCTCAGGGAAGTGGGAAGGCGGCCCCAGCAAGAACTCCGTCTACATCTCCTCGTTGTACTTCACCATGACCAGCCTCACCAGCGTGGGCTTTGGGAACATTGCCCCGTCCACAGACATCGAGAAGATCTTCGCAGTGGCCATCATGATGATCGGCTGTGAGTTCCACAGTGTGGGGCAGGGAGGGAGCGTACCTGGTGGCCAGACCTTCCTCTGGCCTGAAGTACGTAGTGGTTACCTTGCCAGCAAGAGCCGAGGTATCATCTAAAGTGACAGACAGACATTCTTTCTCCTGAAGATTAGTTTCCTTGCTTTCCTGATCTTTACATTGGCTCAGGCGCACTGAAAAACAAATTTGGGATGCATAAACGAGGACTGAAGGTACAACTCAGTTAGTCGAGTGCTTCCCCAACTTGCAGAGTCCTGGGTTTAATAAACTGCGTGTACTGGACATGCCTGTAATCCTAACCCGTAGGAGGTGGAGACAGGAAGATCAGGAGTTCAAGGTCATCCTTAGCTAGGTAGCGAGTTTTAGGCCAGCCTGGGCTACATGAGACAGTGTTGCATAAAGAAAAAAGTACCAGGTAGAGAACAGACACTGCTCTCCAGCCTGCTTTCGGCAGCTTTATGAGCCTTGGGACGTGGATTAGTCAACTCACCACACTGAGGCTAGACTCGCTTCTCGGGTGACTTCTGCCACTTTTGTGTGTCTTCCCGTCTGCCTGCTGTTTGTCTATCTGGACACATGGATACTGATTTTTATAAAAATGAAAGGAGACTGTGTTCCACACGCAGCACTTGTGGAAGACTTTCCATGTCCATTTAAGGGTGCAGTGTGGTGTTTGGATCACAGTGAAGTGGATAGTAAAGAGACTAACTTCCCTGTAGTGACCTCCCCTTTTTCTTTCTCTTCTTTGAGAATTCTTGAATCAACACAACTCTCGGTAACTCCCATCAGATTTCTAATATGCCTCATGATATTGTGCCATATGTCAGTCTAAACAGAACTCTAGATCCAGATAGTCCAGTCTGGTATAAGGGAAAAGTGTCTGACAAAGAACAGAGACCAGTCCTTAGTCCACCTTCATGTTGATTGTGTGTTGGGGTAGTGGTATCAGCTCCTTAGTCCACCTTCATGTTGATTGTGTGTTGGGGTAGTAGTATCAGGTCCTTAGTCCACCTTCATGTTGATTCTGTGTTGGGGTAGTGGTATCAGCTCCTTAGTCCCCCTTCATGTTGATTGTGTGTTGGGGTAGGGGAATCAGCTGCTCAGCCCGCCGTCATGTTGATTGTGTGTTGGGGTAGGGGAATCAGCTGCTCAGCCCGCCTTCATGTTGATTGTGTGTTGGGGTAGGGGAATCAGCTGCTCAGCCCGCCGTCATGTTGATTGTGTGTTGGGGTAGGGGAATCAGCTGCTCAGCCCGCCGTCATGTTGATTGTGTGTTGGGGTAGGGGGATCAGGTCCTTAGTCCACCTTCATGTTGATTGTGTGTTGGGGTAGTGGTATCACTCTTGTGCTGGGTTAAATGAAATATTCTACAGGTACCCTAGTGAAATTTTACTTCTCTTGGGCAGCACCGGTCCAAATGAACAATTTCTCATCCTCCTCATCTTCTCTTTCTCTCCTTTTGTTTCCTTTTTTTTTTTTTTTGAGTCAGTGTCTTTCTATGTAGCCCAGGATAGCTTGGAACTCATGTAGCCTAGGCTAGCCTCTAACTCCTGGCAGTCCTTCTGCCTTAGCCTACCTGAATGTGGTGATTATAGACTTGAGGTAGCATGCCCAGCTTAAGTCAATGTTTTCCTGTCTGACAGTTGAGAATTTTCCCAACCATACACTCACATATACACAAACATGCATGCATACATACACACACACACACACACACACACATTCACATATATGCACAGACACACATTCAAGTATACACACATTCAGAAGCTCTTGCTTAATGAGAGGAATAGATTAATGGGCACCTGGATTGCATATCACTGATTGCTGAGGCAGGTGCTTAAACCCGAGTCATTCACTGCTCACTGGCCATCGTGCGGCTGTTGCTGTGGGACGTGGAAGGCCCCTGTGGCTGCAGATGATGAAATTCTACATCTAGGGAGCCTTAGGCAGGAGGGGCCCTGCCTGTGCTGGAGACAGCAAATGAACCTGAGTGCTTTTGTACATCGTGACAAGGTCTCCTGCACCTTGGTGGTGCTTCCATGTCATGATAGATGGGGACAAAGACAAGGGGAGTTGCTCTGTGCGTAGTGGTCTGGTCACACAGGCAGACTCAGCCTCTGGGTCCCCGGGCAGAGCTCTTTTGTTTGAAGATGCTCCTTCAAGGTGAAGTTGATGGCTGAATTGCTGACCAACCTAGAGAGATCCAGGACTTCAGCCAGACCCTTTGCCCAGGTGCTCAGGGATCCAGCTCTGGAGGTAGACTTTGTCACCCCACATCGTCACCTCTGTCACTTGCCACCCCCTTCTTGCAGCCCCTCAATCTGTCGGATGCAGGCCTTTCCTAAGAGCCCTCTCTGCAGGCAGTTTCCTGAGAATATTTACAGATGTGTCTAAAGGGGTAATTGATTCCTGAGACCCCTGTGCTGGTGTGCAGCTGTTGGGTTTGCTCCTTACTTTCGAATGGGTTTTAATAGAGATGACTGCCTGGCTGTGGGAAACCATGTGAAGGATCCATGGGTGGCTAATTGCTTTAGTTTAATTAGAACTCGAGATGCTTGCTTATGTCTCAGGCAAAGATTTGAGAAGCGTTTTAGCCTTAACACTGTGTTGGTTTCTAGTCAGGGCTTGCTTTTTTTACTTCTGTTCTGGGGATGGAACCCGTACCTTATGTGTGCTGAACACACTCTACCACAGAGCTGCTGCCCAGATTGCTTGCAGCAATTTTATGAGCCTTGGGGTGTCGGGTCATCAACTTGATGCACTGTGCTCAAGGCTAGATGACTTCTTTTCATGGGAGATGAAATGCTTTCTGAACACCCCATTATAATCGTTACAGAGAGTTTGCTACGCGTGGTCAGTTAGAAATGGGCCCATTTTGTGGCCTCAAAAGGCTTTTAAGAACCAGATTTCCCTGCAGCTCTTTGCCTGGTGGCATACAGGAAGGACAGGAATCTTCATTTCTTTTCCCAAATCATTCTTCCACCAGAATATCATTTCCTGGGGTTCCGGGGACACGTTGGTATTTCCACTTTTTCTCACCTTCTCGGAGCCAGGTGGCGTTTCTGTTTCTTCAGGTAATCAACGAGCCATAGGTAGGCCTTTTCCTCTGCATTGTGAAGCATGCGTGCTGTTTAAACACCTCTGTTTAACTATTTGCTGAGCCCTTGTGAAGGCCAGGGACTGTGCTAAACACACTTGCACATGGTTTCAAAGGCTTTATGCTTGTGCCTGTTATTTGATAAGGAAACAGAAGCTTAAGAGAAGTTTCTCACAAGAATGTGAGGCTGGTGGACAGGAGAGAGAAGGTTCCAGGGGTGCCTTGCCTGTGGTGGCGATGGAGTCACATGCAGATATTGTAATCGGAATGGTGTGGGCCAACCACAGAGATTCACTGCCCTGACACTCACACACTGAAACATGGACAATTCCCTCTGTGACCCCGAATAGGCCACCTGGGTCTGCAGTGGAAACTTTCTGTGCTTTTTTGTTGTTTCAATTTAAGCACAAGATTATGTTACCAACTCGGGATTGGGTACTTTGGAGCAGAGCTATTTTTCAGCGACCTGTCACTTACGGTTACGGCTGTTCCAATTCTGTGTGATATGCGTCTGACAAATTCTTGTGATAGTGAGAAAGCCATTATCTGTGTGTAACGGGTGCTGACCAGCCTTGTGCACTCATATCTGAAACAGCCTTTGTTCCCGACTGACATCTCCTTGGGTTTGCAGTTTCTCTGACCCTCTGCTGTCTGTGTGCATGCCGTTAACTGTGTGTACTTAGCCCCTTCCTGGATCGTTCTTGGCTCAGACTGAGCTCTCTCTCACGGTGAAGCCTGCATACACCTGAGTGCTGGGTGCTGCCTCCCTCCCAGGCTATTTGGCAGCACTTAAAGTGAGGGTGTGTGGGCTTCTGAAGTGCAGCCTGGGCTGTAATCCTTTTTCCCCTTTTGTGCTGAATTTTTCACTCACAGGTCTGGCACGTCTTGGCTGTTCTGTGGTAGGGTGTTAGCCGTCATGTGGATGGTCCAAATGTCCCGCTGTTGCTCCTGTCTGCCCCCATTACAACTTGCTTGTTCTCCAGAGGACCCCATCAAGCAGCTATACCTCAGGCTAGCCCACCTTCTTCCATTCTGATGGAGCATCACATTAGGAGGGAATTGGAACTGTTAATGGAAATGGGGTTTTGTGATCAGCTGAGGCTGTCTTCAACAGGCCAGCTTTAGATCTGAGCTCTAGCCTTGTGTGTTGGCCTACACAAGCCCAGTCCCTGCCTGGACCTCCCTGCCCTCCCTAGGTAGGTCTCTGGTGGCCTCCTGCAAGGGCCCCACCTGGAGGTGGTGAATGGACTCATGTCTTTACACATGTGTCTGGTGATGCCAAACAAAATAGAGGAGTTCACGCAGCCCTCAGTGTGAGATCCAGCTGAGAACGTGCCTCCTTCAGCAGGTACCTCAAGTGCCTTCGCCAGCAGGCTTCCGGCTGGGTGCTGAGGACTGGGGTGAGGCGTCAGCCATGTTCGGTAGTGGAAGAGTGTGAAAAGATGGAACCAGACCCCATCAGCACTAGCCAGTGGCAAAGACCTGGGGTCTCCACCGGGACTGACTGATGCCCTGTCCTCTGAGGGAGCCACAAGAAAGGAAGACTTGTGTGAAAACAGTGACTATCTCAGCCTCAGGTTGGGCCCTGGCCCCACCTTGGGTAGCCATCCAGGAAGGTTTGATGGTGGAGACAGTTGTGCTTTCTAAATATGGGCTTGTACTTTTGCACTTCCCTCTTCATAATGTCAGTGCTGTCATCCCGTCACTTTAAGTAAGTGGCATGCACTCCTCCATCTGACGGTAGGGGGTCTAGACACAGGGCGCCTGGAAAGAAGACTCCATCCCAGCCCGCTTCGGCCTCCAGCCTGCCCCTATCTTAGGACCTTCAAACCCTGTGTCCAGGGGCTCCCAAGCACCCTCAGTTCTGCTAAGTCCCCTTGTCATTCTCC